AGCCAGGGCTGGCTCTTCTCCTCTTTCCGTGACAGGTATGGTGCACACATGCTCTATATCCGGAAGTTTACTGCCTGAGAGTTCATCGCGGGCGTTCTCTCTCGTGCGGCTACGTGACCACCAACGACCCTACCCGGGAGCTCCGTCCTGGCTTGGTTTCGGGAGCGTCTCATTTTTTGCCAGGACAAGCAACCATGCTATGAGGATCTGTGAGCATCTTCCCACTTCAAGATTTTTCTTTTTCTTGACGGGCACGGAAGAACTACTTTCCGAACCCTCTGGGGACCAATTTCCAAGGCCACAGCAAAGGTGCCGGATGCCAAGCCCTGCGGGCTGTTACGCTTCACCTAGTTTCTCATGTAACAGGGAGAAAGTCATGCCAGACGCATGTTCTTAATGCACAATGAAACCCCACTTCCCAAACCATTACGTTTATTCCTTTTGAACTGCTACCCTGACTACAGCTGACCTTGAACAACGCAGGGGTGAGGGGCCCTGATGCCCACACCATCAAAACTCTGCGTCCAACTCTGACTCCCTAACAACGGAACTATGGTCCTTTGGTGCCCAAGGGGGACTGGCTCTGGCACCACCAGGGGACGGTCAGTGCCTCGTGTGAAACAGCGAGGAATAGAGCACGTGGTCGGCCCTCCGCACCCACGGGTTCCTGCCTGCAGGTTGCAAATGCTGCTTTTGATCCCGAGGTTCGTTGAATCCAGGAACACGAGAGCTGACTGTACATTTATTGAAAATATTCTGTATCTTCATGAACCAGTACAGTTCAAACCAGTGTTGTGCAATGGTCAACTATATACGATACCCATAATGTAAAAATCCGCTGTATTAATGTTAAGCTCTGTATTAAATAGCCATATTCTAATTAACGTTGCAAATAACAGGGGGAAATACACACACCACGCTGGGCCTCATTTCCTTTTGTGGGCGGCCGGCAGCCAGGGTTTGAGGGCAGGAGAGCATTTCTCGTGTTTCACTTCGAGGAGGTGACCATTTCTCGAAGATGTTTGCGGGGAGGGGGAAGGAGGGAAGCTCCCTCGCAGGGAGAGCCGCTGCCAGGTCCTTAAGGCAGAGTCACTGTGGAGAAGTGAAAGCGAAAGTCCAGGTTGCTTCCTTTCTGAGAAACATGAGTTTCCCACACGGGGCTCCGTCGGATGCGCTGCAAAACGGGAGCTTCAGCGTCTGGGCGGGGAGGGGCGCCAGGGGCCGAGACAGAGCCCGGGGGAGGTCCGCCGCATGGAGCTTTTAGGACAAACATGAGCTGGAGTTTTAAAACGAGGCCAGAGAGCAGTCCATTGTGAGCGGGTAAAACTACTGCAGAAACAGCTTCTCAACAAACCACTTAACAACTACTTTTGCAAAACTGTACACAAGTTGTTCCAAAAAACACCTCTGGCTGGGTTGTCTTCTTTTTGAAAAGCGACAGCCAACATAGTGCATACACTGGCTGCTGGGTCAGAAAATTATTGCTTTGTACTCAGGGGCCACACGGATGCCTTCTGGGGCCAGGCCAATGGTCAGAGCCAGGGCGCAGGCGTGTGTATGTGTGAGTGTGTGTGAGTGAGAGTGTGTACGAGAGCATGTGTATGCATGTGAGGGTGCATGTATGGTGTGCGAGGGCCTATGTGTGTACATGTGTGGGGTGTGGCTAAGGTCGTATTCTCAAAGACCGGCAGCCTCAGCATCACCTGAGCACTCAGCTTATTAGCTGAGGCTCCACCCTGCACCCACTGACCCATAAACTGAGGGTGGCGCCCAGCAGTCTGCGATTTCACAAGACCTCCAGGACCAGGCGGGCTCTCGGAAGCTTCAGAACTGCTCCCCGAAGGCAGGGAATCGCTCACGTCTTGCTAAAAAGCCAGAGTGGACGTTACAGGCTCTGGGGGCCAACGGGCAACACCAGGGCTACCCAGCAGGTACCAGGTCAGACGGTAAAACCCGTTCTTAGCTCACAGGCTGTAAAACACAGCTGCTCTAAGGCTCCTCAACCCCCGCCCCCCCGAAGTCTACAGAAATCCCTGCCCGGCAGGCTGCAGGGCCTGAGGTCCAGGGCTTCCATCCGCAGTGAGATGCGCATCTCCCCACACTGGGAGGGAGCGCAGGGAGGACTTACGGCAGGTGCCCAGCAACTCGCCCTGGTGACCAGACACCACAGGGGGTCCTGACTTGGGACTGACTGCCCCAAAACCAGGGGTGGAATGAGCCGCGCCTAACCAACTGGGGTCTCCAGCAGCTCAGTCCCTCAGAGACTATGCCTCACTTACTTGACGTCTACTTCTAAAAGAGTTCCATCTATCCTTAGACTCCTCTGCTAAATATATGCAGAAGAAGGTGCCCGCTAACAGCAGTTCCAGAGCACAGTTCCAAAAATACCATGAACGACGTCAGCATCGTCACAGGAAAAGGGAGAGGATTTCCTCAGGTGGCCTTTTTTTGAAGTGGTCAATACTTACTCTAAAGTAAAGCTGTCAGGATCAGTACCCTGGCCTTTAAAAAAATTCGGACTCGTGGCCTTATAGCAACTCAAACTTGGCATGATAGAAGAGATGGGGAAGAGGCGACAAGAGCAGGGGACCCCCTGCAAGGTCTGGCTGGTGGCCGCCAGAGGACTGGCAGCTCAGAAAGGATCCGGGCCGGGCGCCCAGAGAGCCCTTCAAGGGGACAGGGGAGCACATGCAGGGGAAGAAGGCGCCAAGTGTGGCGCTTGCGGGCAAGCTGAGTTACTATGCAGAGCGGCCCGGCGAGTGGGCAGGGCCGTCCGGACAGGTGGCCTGGGTCCAGGCGGTGCCTGGAGCTGAGACGCCCCGGGATCCTGCAGCGTCTGCTGAGCTGGGCTTTAGAGGGGCTGACGAAGGGGGGCAGCGGCCGTTTAAAGGCAAATAAACTGGGGAAGGCCGAGGCCCAGCCCTCCCGCGACCCACCCCGGCCTGGTAAAGCTTGGGCTCGTCCTGCAAGGAGAGAAACCCGCTCACCTGTGCTCCGCCTCGACCTCCCTCAAATTCTAGGCCCCACGGGCCACCCCACCCCTCCCAGGCTCTGGGACTGGCCTCCAGGAACATCAGCGTGGCCGATAAGGAAAGGCTTACACGGAGTTCTGAGCCAGAAGTCACGTCACTGGGGCGTATTTTAGAAGGTGGCTCTGGGGCAGGTACCGGACGAGGCTTCTGGCCCCCATTCAGCAGTTAGGTCAGAAAGGGAGCTCAGAGACACACACAAAGTGTCATACACCTTGTCCCGTCTAACGCTGGCCTGTGTAAAGGCTGGCGCTGGCCTCGCCTCAGGAGACACATGGTTCTCTCCGCAGACAAGCACCGACTGGCCAGCAGCAACGTTTGCACAAGCATCTCCTTCCTTTGTTTTAATTTCTAAGCACAGCCTCCCGACAGAAGACTTTAAAATCACTTCTGAACCTGACCAGAATGTAAAACATCCTTTTTATACTAGCCTTAAACTAGAAACTCAAAAAGCCCAAGGGAACAAAGTAAAAAAATCTCTTAAGATACTTCTGAACTCCGATGTTGGTCAACAAAACCGAGCGCCCACCGCTCCCTGACTCCCGCAGGCCCTGCAGACCCAGGGAGGACGCGAGGGCCTCGCTGCGGAGGGGCCGCCTGCCGCCCCCCAGGCCAGAACACCTCCACGCCGTTCACCCCTGGTCTCAGGTTCCTCGTTCGTAAACTAAGGACGGTTTGTAGCAGAGATGCGTGCAGTGCACAGGAAGTGCGACACAGGGACAAATGCCACCAACATCAGGCCTCCCTGCTCACACCTTCCCCAGGAAACAGCCACAGGCAGGCAGTTCCCTCCTCGGATATCCAAACACCTATTGCAGCAGCTCCTGGGGCTGTATGAAGTGGAGAGCACTTTAGGCACATTCCCTTGTTGATTATTTTCAATGAAATAACAATGATTTCCTGGCATTTGCTTACTTCCAGCCAGGGGCTAGTCACTGAATGCCAGCTCCATCCCCTCCTCCCACAGAAACAGCAGGCACCAGGTAATCAATCAATCCATCGGTAAGTCCACCAGCGTTCCTGTACGGGCAGGCCAGGCCAGGCCTGGCGATGGCTTTTCTTTTTGTTTTGTCATTGTTTTAAAAATTGTGGAGGACTTGAGAGAACACTGGGACGAGGGTTTCTGCACCTTGCGCTACCAGCACGTGGAGTCGGGCGGTTCTTCGTGGGGGGCCGTCCTGCAGGTTGGGGATGCGCCGCAGCCTCCTTACCCTTAAGCATTAGGTGCCAACCACACACACCCGCAGACGCCGCTCCCTCCCTCCGCTATCAGTGCCCAAACGTGGGGGGAGGGGTGGCAGCAGCCGGCAGCCCCTGGCTGAGAACCCCGCATCGGCGCGCTAACCTAAAGGGGTGCCTGTTAGAGACAAGGAAACTGGGGTGAACCGCTGGTTCACTGCAGGGCCACTGCCGCCGCCCCCAGCCCCAGCCCCAGCCCCAGCCCTCCCAGCGCGGCTGGGAACTGGATTCACCCCATCTCGGCTGAGAACAACCTGAGCCCCTCAGTACCTGCTTTCCTGACCTCATGTCACATTCATTTGACATTTGTCACAAACAACCGAAGACCTGTCTAATCATCTTAACGTCACTGCAGTTACTATATGTAAAATATGCAAAATAAATGGAGGGAAAAAATCCGTAAAGTTAAAACTCTAAAACAGTCTTATTTCCCCCGCTAAATATATATGCATGCGCTTTGTGATGAGCCCATTTTTCCTTATTTCCGCTTATTGCTTTCCGGGTCCCAGCTAAGAAACCCCTGCCGGCCCCAGGCTGCAGAGATATGCTCCTCTGCGTCCTTCGGGAAGTTTCACAGGTTTAGTTTTCACATGTCGATCGGTGGTCCATCTGCTCACCCAGAAAGAGGAGCTGAGCCGCTTACTCACATGGGGGGCCGGCATCATAGCCTCGGGACTGCGGACGCAGCGCTTCTCCGTGGAAAAACCCCTCGGAAAGCGGGTGCATACTCACCCAGCCCGGAGATGTTTATTGCTTTCACGGATTTCTTCATTTTGTACAGAACCATCCGGTCCACGTCCAAAGCCTAAAATACAGAGAGTGTACTCATTAAAACAGGGCCTGGGCTTGGGTCACAGGCACCTGGGGCCAGCCCGGTGAGAGCCCTCAGGAGGCTGCTCCAGGCCGCTTCCGCGGGACAAGTCCTCGGTGTGGTGTGAGCATCGGCAGTCGCTAAGCGCAGACGCTCCCATGCACCTCGCCCATCTGCAGCCTGAGAGCCGCCTGCGTGCACACCGCCTGCCGGACCTCAGGCTTCTGCAGAGCAGCCAGTTAGCTGGGACCAGCTCCACCACCGCCAAGCCTCAGCTGTCCCTGTGAGCCTGCAGGGCTTCGGGGCGTGCAGCCTGCCAGGGCCTGGCGGCTGCGTCTGCACTCCTCCCTGGATGGGGGGAAGCCGGTGGGCAGGGGAGCGGCTGGCGCGTGGTGAGGCAGAGTGCCACGCCACCCCCCTCCCCCGGACAGCCACCTTGCAGCCACAGACCACCCCCGCCAGAGGCAGCCCGGCCAGTGAGGGCACACCCGCTCTGGACTTGGGAAGACCCAAATATACATATTTGTTTGCTGGTTTGGAAGGCATGTTCCCAACCCTTGCCAAACCTCAGGTTTCCCTTCCAGAAAGCAGGAGCCACAACACCTCGTTTGCAAGGTCGAATGATTCAACAGACACGCTTATTGTACTGTATTTAATATTCGGCAAATATTTACAGACGAACCGCGACACAGCAGCAGCAGCAGCAGCCGGCACTTAGAAGGCCTAGCATACAAGTGCTCAAAACACCGTGCGGTGACTTGTCACACTTGCAGGTTTCACTGCAGCTCCGCATGCACCAAAGGGGCGGGGTGGGGATTTCCTTTCCACCCAATTAAACCCCACAGAAGGCCGATGGGTGTCACGTCCAGTTGGAACGGGAGGGAGACAGCACGTGTAAGCTGGGACAGTGACTCTAACCGCAGGGCTACCGCAGATGAGAGGAAAGCCCGCAGGGGACGCGCCCGGTCCATCGCCGCGCATGCAGCGGAGCACACCACCCCGGAGAAATCGCCCTGGCCTTCAGGCCGCCCCAGACCCCCTCCCAAAGCCGTCTGCCACGACAGCACCACCACACATCCTCGCTCTAAAGCCCCACTGACTATTTTATTGCTAAAAACAGATGCGATCGCTGCTGACAAGTTTACATAGAAAAATGGTCGCAAGGCAGCATACGCTGGACAAAGAGAAGATACAATGTTTTCATTAAGCACCATTTACTGACACACTGCGGAGAACGGTAGGTAAGGATTGATCACAAGGAATCAAAACTGGCGGTAGAGAATTACTTTTCATTTTCCTAGGAGGTCACCTTTTAGTCCATTCCTGCCTTTCCCTGGAGATACAGAAAAGGGGTTTGGAAACAGCACGTAACCTGTGTTTGTCCCGACCGAACTCGAAGTCTCACCAGCTTTTTTTACTCCCTAGTCGGCCACCTGGCAGACAATGCCCTGCCGCACACGCCCCGACCTCCGGATACTCTCCCTGCCTGCTCTTGACCCAGCAGCTTCCACTCCGACTTGGCCGGCCGGCTCAGTGACCTCTTCTCCGGGAAGCCTCCTCCGACGGACGACGGACTCATTCGAGCTTTCCCTGCAGGATCCTGTGCTTACTCAATAGACCAACTGAACATTTACTGAGCGCCTACTGCATGCCAAGTACTCAACTGGGCACTAGAGATACATGGTGATCGCAACAGGGCAACGCCTTGCCTCGCAGAGTTTACAATTGAGCCAGGCAACCCCCTAAGGAAACAAAGGCAGGCCCAGGACCTACCCTGCACACCCCCCCACCTGCTTTCCTACTTGTTTGTCCTGGTTCAAGACCATGTGGTACCTACCGGCCACATGTCTGTGGAGCATTGAGATGCAGCTGGTGTCACACATTTTGGATGTAATAGGCTAAATAAGATATTAATGGAATTAACTTTACTGACTCTTTTTACCTTTTCTAATGCTCTCCTCTGAGGGACAGTTGCTCATCGCTGTGTCCCCAGCGAGCAGGGCTGAGAAAGCAGCTCCGTAAACGAGCAAGAGGCTGGGGAGGCAGGCAGGCACTCAGGCTGGGCAGCGGTGCCCCCGCTGAACCCGTGGACCGCGGGCAGCTACCCAAGGCTTCTTAGCAGGGGGCGGGGAGCGCCGTGCCCGAGGGCCCTTCAGGCCACAGCGAGAATGACAGGTTTGGGCAGATGGGATGAGGTCGGTTCAGGGAAAGGCCACACAAAGGGGAAGGACCCACGACTGCGGGCATGTGGGGCTCCATGCGGGGCTGCGAGCGTTCCGGAGCGTCAGCGAGGGGCCAGGGAGACAGACGCCTGCTGCCTCCCACAGCCGGGTGCTGGCTCTCGGGTCTCCGGCAGCCCCGCTGACGACGAGCCGCCTCTGTTCTCGGGGGTCTGGCTCGGCCGTGCTGAGGAAAAGGGGACCTGAAGGTGGTTGCGTAAGTGCAGAAGGGCATTTACCGGTGCCGCCCGCTTTCAGCACCTTCAAACTCTGACAAATTTCCTCCCGCATTTCGCTGTGGGACATGCCCTCCCTCAGCATTCGGGACACAAAGTCTTGCAAAAATTTGTCGCTGGATAGACAAGGAATCTTCACCTTGTTGTTCAAGGGAGGTGCCGCTCCCTGTGCTCGAACTGGGGTGAACAGTAAGGGCTGCTGTTCCGCCGCGTGTGAGGCCTTGGGAAGGAAGGCGAGGCAGGCGGTAGAGGTAATTTTTAATTAAAATTGCAATTATCTCCCTGCTCAAAAACACACCCTTCCTTACAGTGCAAATTTCTAGATAACTAAGGTTAAACTTGGCCAGAAGTCAGAATGATTATGTCTGAGTGCTACAAAAACTTTTGTTGATTATATATAAATACAGCTCTGGAATCTTAAAACAATAAAAAATTACAAAGCTTGAGAGTTTCAAGAAACCAAAGGTGGCCACCAAGCAGGCTTAGACTTCTTAGCAGACTCGGCTCGCGCCCGCTGCCTCCCCCTCCAAAATCTGCCCAAGTTCAAAGAAGGAAAAGAGCCTGCGGCTTTGGCCAGCATTTGCGTGTAAGAGCTACAAACAGAGGCCAAAATCTAAGAGCCCACAGAGGCCTACGGAGGAACCGCACGACAGCTTACGTCTGGCCAAACCTCATTAATTCTGAGGAGCTAGACCAAAGCTGGCCTTCAGTTTATAAAACAAGTTTCACAGAGTAAATTTATTCTGTAAACAAGACGGCAGGGCTGTGTCTGAGAGATTCCAGGAGAAAATAAACAACTGCTTTTCGGCTGTTCTGAACGTGTGTCTTTGGATCCCCGAGCTGCCACATTACCGGCCGCGGCCCTCCTTCCCTGCTCAAGCGGTGCTCCGGGGGCCCTGAGCGGCGGGCGACCCCCGCTCCCGGGGCCCTGGGCCCTGGGCCCTGCGCCCTGCGCCCTGCGGGGACGGAAGGCCCTCCCGGGGAGGGGCCCACAAGCCTGTTGGCTCCCGTCCGGCTCAGACCCGAGCGGCCCAGCACGGCAGCCACTAGCCCCAGATGAATATTAGGGTGAAAACAGTCAACAGCTAATAAAATAAAAATTCAGTGCCTCATGTCTTGCCACTTTCCTCGAGAGCTCCAGCCACACACATCGTGCCGACGTGACGGTTTCTAAACACCTCCCCCGCGCCCCCCCCCCGGCCCTGCTTCTCCTCTGCTCCCACAGACCCCGCTGCGTGCACCCCTGTAAGTCCCTGGTACCCTAGGGGCGCTCCCCTCTTCCCTCCCTGGTCACAGTGCTCATGCTACCCCTTCACAGGGCTGAGTCTTGGTCCCAGAGCCCTCCAGGAACCCCAGGCTGGCGTGCGGGCACCTGCGGCCGGAGGCCCGACGGGGGGGCCAAACCCACGGTCTGTCTGGAGCTGAGCCTGGGCCAGCGGCGGGCACCTCCAGTCTGCGGGCCAAGCACAGCCCTCAGCTTGGTGTGGGGCGACCTCGAGCGAAGGACCTGCACAGGGGAACACTTCCGGCCGATGTGATGACAGGGGCATGGGGAATGCTAACCTCCAACCCCCAGTAGGAGAAATGTTACCGCTCCCAGACAGAACTCCACTCTTTACATTAGTAAAGCTACATCACTGAAAAATCACATCCCATTGCTATTAGTAGTAGTATTTGTGTTAGTTTCACCAATAAAATAAAAATTTTTGTGAAAATGTATCTTCTCTCATTGTATAAGAATCTACATAATATCCTTAATGTTGCCTCTAGGCCTGGAAAGCCTAAAATGCTGACTATCTGGCCCTTCACAGAGGCCAGACCCCTGGCCTGGGGACCCACAGAAACGGTTCCCCAACACTGTCTGTCTGCCGTGCCCCTGCCTCTCAGCCTGGACCTAGAGGTGTCGGGTGGCGGGCAGCGGCCGTGCAGCGCGCTTGGTCTCTGGCACCCGGAGGTCTCGATTCGCGTCAGCCAGGGGGGCAAGGGGCCGGCTTCATTCCCGGAACCCAAAGCAGCTGCCCCGCAGAGGAGAAGCAGACGGCAGGAGACACCCCTCCCCCGTCTGGGCCGCCTGGGGGGTCACGTCTACTCTCTGGTTCCCATCTTATCTCCCTGTGTTCCGACCTGAGAAAACATGACATTTTTGCAAGACAGGAAACCAAATCACAGAACAAAACGGCACCCGGATCTGTGCCCCACGGACAACGTTGCCAAGAGAGTCCAGCCAGCACATGGGCGGCAGCTTTGTGTCCACGCTCCAGGCTTCACTTCGGAAGTCAGTAACGGAGGCCTTTGGTGACAGCACCCGAGACTCCCAGAGCCTCCCAGGAGTCACGGGGACACGCTGTGGCCCTCAGGCTCAGGGCGGAGCCACAGCACCCAGGGACCTGCCGATGCCGGGGGAGAAGGCCACGGCCTGGAGAACAGCTGGTGTCGTGAAGGGTGGATGGAGGCCACCAACAGCCAGGCCAAGGGCCTCTGTGTGAAGCCCACGGGCACCGGGGCGAACGAGAAGGGCCCCCTTTGGGGTCACCTGGAA